GAGGCTACATCTGTCATCTTGACATCTGTAATCGTTGCAGTTATGTTAAAACAAGGCTTTTGTTGTAAGATTTAGATTTGCTTTCTATAGGAGGTGACCTATGACCTTTACTCTGCGTCATAATAACCAGGTGTTGTGCTGGTTAGCCCCATCCACTTTGAAATTACATTGGTCCTCGTAATGGTGTATAGCAGGGTTTGAAATTAATACCCTCCAACCCGCCAAATGCGGGTAAAAATCAGCTGTGGCAGGTAACGCTGTCAAATCACTAGCCAATTTGGCGGGTTACTTTTCGTAAATTATGTTTACTAATTAATTTCTTGAGGAAGTTCATGTAAGCCAAATCTGCACAGATTTAGTGTAAATACTGAACTCTATAGAACATTTAAATATGTTCTGATTGGCTGTGAACTGATTCTTAACAGTTTTATGTTCAGTTTCATTACTTCGTTTGGACATTGTATTAACTTTACTCCAACACCAACTGGCCAACATCCAATGATATGCAATGGCTTGGTCAATGCGTTACTTTAACACAGGCTTTAGTCTTAAGCAGTGAATTAAAGCGTGTGCGAGCACTAATCTCTAATTACCTGGCACAATTACACGCCACAGATCAACACAGCTATCGATCGCCGGCGTCTGAGCCGATATCGGCCCTACTGCGCTAGAATGTAAGTTTCGGGTGAAAAAAGGGTGCAGTGATCAATGCGTTTTATCTGCTGGAACATGCATACCTCAAAACCCCCCTCCCCCAATGCCATCCATCCCATAATGCCACACTTTCCTCCTTTTCCTCACAGGATTTAGCCTCCACTACATGGATTAGAGCACCGCATCCGCCGCCTAATCCATTCAGACGAAGGGGAGGAGATTACAATGTTGGGGTTTGATGTTAATAGAAACCCTTAATAAGTCCTTTTTTGCGCTTTACATGCTTCTTAATGTATAAAGGAAAACACAAAGGACTTTTTATGCCTGCTCAGCTGGCTGTGTGTGCGCTACCAGCAGCACTGGAATCATCTGAATGGGTTGAGACTCGGGACGGGCTGTTTTCTGTCATGCTTTTTCTTTAATGAGATTTCCATATACAGCTGGCCGTCTTGTCAGTGTCTTTAGGGTCTGTTCTTTTTTTCCATCTGAGAAGAGGGAAGACGCAGTCATTATTGAAGCTTTTTGGCTGAGAACTATTATTGATAGGGATCCCTTAAAAACCATATCACAGATTTGATGAGGAGCGTGTCGCACCACTACATGTAATGAGTCTTATTAATCTCATTTATGCTAACGAAACGTTTCTAAATCTCTGGAGGACTGTTAATCTGCTCGTCGTAGAGTGTGAATATGAATGACAAGTGTATCTGTGTGAATAGGAAGCTGCTCAAAACATCTTTTTAGTAAAGCTTTTTAATATTAATAATTATAGTTATTATGTAAATTCAGAATATTTTTTTGTTTTTGAAAGAAGTCTCATGCTCACCAAGGCTGCTTTTATTTTTTTTTTTTAGAAAAAATACAGTAATATTAATGTACTATTACACTGTATTAATGTAAAACAGCAATATTGTCAAATTTTAAAATTGAATAAAAAACTGTTCTGTACAGTATTTTTTTATATATTTTAAAATGTAATTTATTCCTTTGATGGCAAAGCTTATTTTTCAGCATCATTACTCCAGTCTGCAGTGTCACATAATCCTTCAGAAATCATTCTAATATGCTCAAGAAACATTATTTTTAAAGTTAAAAACAGAAAAAAAGTCGAAACAATGTTGCATTTGAGGATTCTTTGATTAATAGAAAGTTCAAAAGAACGGCATTTATTTGAAACTGAAATCTTTTGTAGCATAATAAATGTCACTTTTGATCATTTTAATGTTTAATATTTGTAACACAATTAAATTCTTTAAAAAAAATTAGAGACCCCAAACTTTTAAACATTATACCACCTAGTTTTATATATACATTTTTTTCAATACACTTTGTAGATTTGAACAATTCAGTTTATTCTACATTGAGTTTTATTAATAGTTAAATAGCAAATGAGCATTAATAGTCAAATTGGGATATTTAAATTTTTCTTGTAGATTTATAGGTTATAGGTGCATTATGGTATGGCACTAATGGGCTTCTGGTCCCAGCGATTTCACTCTCAGGCTGAACTTATCCCACCCCTTTAAATTGATTGTCATATTTGAATATTTGCTATTCTTTGTCCCTCATGATTGTCAAGGGAGCTGAAGTTTGATTTTTGCAGTGTAAATCGTATATGTGTGTGCGAGCGCCGTTATTGAGTTATTCAAATAACAGACTTTAGCTCGCAGAGAGAGCGCTTTGAGAACGCGGTGCCCACGCACATTATTTCCCAAATATCTCTGCTTCCCAATGCAATATTTCCTTGTCACCCACAAGCTCAGACAGTACAATAATTATCAATTTCCATATCATTGTGCTTTTATTGTTTGAGCAACATAAAATAAAACATTTGTTAATGCCACTCAGTTAGACGAGAGCAGCATGGAAAGATGAGGGAGGGAAATGTAATTAAAAAAATCTCTGACTTGCACTTTGTCTGTAATCATGTAAATTGAATGTCAGTCAGAATGGGTGAACGCGCTCTGTTATTAGATTCCAAACTCCTTGTGCCCGCTGCGTGCCTCACCAAACGCTGGCTTTGCCACTGTTGCTACTGTATGAGACTCAAGCAGCAGTGCTGACAAACTCACTGCTGTCATAGTAGAAATATGAACACTGTTTACATCAGTCAAGTGATTTATTAGTAGAACGCTCTTTGAAGCAAAGTTTTTGTTCAACTACATGCTTCTTACCACATTCACATAACCATCTACAGTCAAATAAAAAAACACTTTAGTATAGGGACCATTCTCACTATTAACTAGATGCTTATTAGCATGCATATTTTTTAACATGCTGGTTGTTTATTAGTGCTTATAAAGTACATAGTCTGCATGACCATATTCTACATCCATAATCCTACCCAATACCTAAACTTAACTATTACCTTACTAACTATTCATAAGCAGCCAATTAGGAGTTTATTGAAGCAGAAGTTGTAGTTAATGGTTTGTTAATAGCGAGAATCAGACCTTAAAATAAAGTGTGACCAATATTACTAACATTTGTCGTTGTTAGTCCTGTCGGTATACTTCGTCACATGATTTTCCTTGTGTAGAGGTTTAAATGCAGAGGAATTCCTGGATTCGTTCCACTGAGTGGAAACACTTCTTTCAAGGGTTGTGATTGATGTGAGCTGTCAAGTTCTGAATGGGGACCAACTGTCACCTGAGAGCTGGATGAATAAAAAAAATTATTCACGGTCAAGTTTGCATGTGAAATTGCATTACATGTTTTTCCAACCATCACGCATGGCTTGAGCTTGAAGTCAGTTTCCAACTCTACTATCAGTAGATAAAATAGGAAGACATGGGCTGATCCAGTAGACAGCTTACTTCACAATAGTGAATTCAACTGATTGATTGATCCTGATGTTTTTTATTTATTTATTTTTTATACATATTGTTTAAATAATAATAATAATAATACATTTATAAATAAAAATAATATATGTATAATTTTAATAATAACAATAATAATAATAATACATGTGAAAGCAATATGTATAAAGGGTGCTAAATAATAATAATAATAATAAATGTGCAAGCAATATGTATAAAGGGTGCTATTTAAAAAAAATAAATAAACGTGCAAGCAGTAAGTATGAAGGGTACTATTTAAATAAATTAATAATAATAATAATAAATATATTTATAAATAAAAGTAGTATATGTATGTTACAACTTTCGTAGTTCGGGAAGAAGGAAGTGGGAACCGGCGAACATTTAAACACTGTAATAAAATAAACAAACACAAAATAAAATCCAGGCCTGGTCCTCTCTCGTCTTTCACTGTCATAGCTCCTCCTTTTATCCTTCCGGAGCTCCTCCGTGGGACTCGAGACCGGTGAGTGATGTGCAAGCAATATGTATAAAGGGTGCTATTTAAAATAAAATAATAATAATAAATGTGCAAGCAATAAGTATGACGGGTGCTATTTAAATAAATTAATAATAATAATAATAAATATATTTATAAATAAAAGTAGTGTATGTATATGTACTATTTTAATAATAATAATAATAATAATAATAATAATAATTAAAGGGGTCATATGATGTTGCTAAAAAGAACATTATTTTGTGTATTTGGTCTTCTTTATGCACCAAGAGCTTGTAACACTCCAAAGAGAAAGGAAAAATTTAAATCGCATCATATGACCCCTTTAATAGTAATGCATTAGTTTAATTGCAGCTCAAAATGTTTCACAGGTCGGAAAAAAAAGCTAAAAACAAAGCAAAAAATAAATAAATGAAAAAAAAAAAGCTGATAATTAAAAATAAATAAAAATAATGATAATTAAAAAAAAAAAAACTTCCCTCAAGCCTGATGGGGGAGGAATCTGGGCCAATTTTGGGAGCAGAGGTTGTTTTTTGTATTCCTTTTTGTATGCTTGTTTGTCAGTGCAACTTGTGCGTGAGTTTATAATGTGGTCTAAATCGAAAGTACTGAGGAGCGGAAATTGTGTCTCCTTGTAATTACCTGGTTGTTCGTACCAGCAGGTTTCATTCAAACTCCTCACCTCCCTTCAGGGGTCAGGGGCTAGAGAAGGGTCGATTGCCATGACAACTGCAGTCCGAGCCCTAGAACGCTTTGACATTTTGTACCATCCCAGGAGTTGGCCGTGTCACATCTGATGAATCATGCGGCACAACCCTGGCAGTGCTATACAATCTGCATGAGAGCGCGGAGGAACAGTCTCGCTGATGATGTTTGAGTGGATTATGTTCAAAGCCTGTCTAACAGCCCCAATCAATGAGATGTACCGCGCACACACAAACATCCAAACAAATAACAGCACCTCCTCTGTCATCTAATTTCTCTCTCTCTCTCTCTCTCTCTCTCTCTCTCTCTCTCTCGCGCAGAGCTGCGTGAAGCTAGAGAACAATTTTGATGACATCAAACACACGACTCTGAGTGAGCGTGGAGCACTTCGGGAAGCGGTGAGGTAAGACCAGGTCACCATGGCAACAGTCACAGATGTGGTGAGGACCAAAGTACTGGTGGTGGGGGGAGTCATTCTTCATTATTTGGGGAACAAATGAGTTTATTGCCACCGTTCAGTCGGCCTCTCGAAGGTATTAATTTGTGCGAGGAGAAGGCGTCCCTTAGGGCTCCAGATCAGCTATATGGCGACCCGGAGCAAACTGCGCTTGGCTAACCTGTCAATGTTTAATTTGACTCTCTGGAGCACCATATTGGCCGCAGTCTTCATGCTTGTCTCTTTCTTTTTAGTTCTAAGGCAGCACCACTAGTACTATTGCTCATACTTCTGTGCAAACCATTATTACTAAGTATTCGACTTTGACACATACTGTAACTCAAGCCACGGCGTTTGTCATTTGTGGCTCTTGAATGAAGAGTTGAGGTCATATTCTGGTGTTTGGTTTGTGTTTACTAGTCATTTCTGCCACTTTAAAAGTAGTTAATCTGTTTAGTTTGTGATAACAGGTTCACTCAGCTTGAAGACTGTAGGCCATGTAGCAATATTTTGTTGACCTCTTTGGTTTGTGTTTAGTTCTGTAGTGCTTAAAGACTTTTGATGGTCATATGAAGTGCATTTAGTTGACCCTTTTAGTTTCTTAAGGCTACTTCAGTCTTTTATAGCTTAAAACGGTGGCATTTAGTTAATTTGTTAGATTGTGATATCTTTTTCTCTCATTTGTAGTAGGCCTACTTAAAGATTAATTTAGTTAACATGTTTAGTTTGCAATAATGCATACAATCAATTCGAAGACTGTAGGTTGGTTTGTGATGTCTAGTTCTGTCGTTTGTAAACAAAGACTTTAAATCATATGGAGGCATTTAGTTGACCCATTTAATTTCGTAAGACTAGTTCAGTTATTAATGCTGCTTAACCTTTTGGGGTCCGAGGGTGTTTTGGGGCCCTGGAGAAGTTTTGACATGCCCTGGCATTTGTGCTTTTTTCAGTTGCTTATAAACGTATTAATTGCTAAAGGTTAATAACACTGTAATCAGCACAAACTGGGCTACAATAATATGTAAGCAGTATGTATGTACTTGATTGTGTTTTTGAGAAAACAAGTATGCATGCTTAGTGAAAAACAAAAATTTTCAAGTCACCACAACCTTAGCTAAAACGGTGGCATTTAGTTAATTAATTTACTTTATAATAGCTAATTCTGTCTTTTGTTGTACTTAAAGATTAATTTAGTTAACCTGTTTACTTTGTGATGATAATGGATTCAATCGATTCGAAGACTGTAGGCCATGTAACAATATTTAGTTGACCTCTTTGGTTTGGGATGTCTAGTTCTGTCATTTGTAGTGCTTAAAGACTTCAAGTCAGCGGCATTTAGTTGACACGTTTGTTTCTTAAGACTAGTTCAGTCATTCATGGCGCTTAAACTGAAACATTAGCTAAAACGGTGGCATTTACTTAATTTCTTTAGTTTGTGATAACTAGTTCCATCATTAATAGCACTTAAAGTAAAATATTTAAGTTATACAGTGACATTTAGTTGACCCGTTTCGTTTCAAAAGACTAGTTCAGTGATTTTTGGCACTTAAACAAAAATTTTTGATAATAAGGTGGCATTTAGTTGACCTGTTTGGTTTGTGATGACTAGTTTCATCATTTGATGTGCTGAAAGAAAGACTTTAAGTCATATGGTGACATTTAATTGACCTGCTTAGTTTGTGATTACTAGTTTAGTCAGTTGGAGTACTTAAAGACTTTAGGTTAAACAGTGACTTTTAGTTAATCTACAGTAATACAGTGTTTTTTAGTTGATTTGTTTAGTTTGTGATGACTAGTTCTGTCATGTAGTGCGTAAAGACTTTTGGTCATACGACAACATTTAGCTGACTTGTTTATTTTCTTAAAGGGGTCATATGATGCTGCTAAAAAGAACATTATTTTGTGTATTTGGTGTAATGATTCAATCATTTACTGGCACTGAAATGACAACTTTAGATAGTATGGTGGAATTTTGTTGATCTGTTTACTTTGTGATGACTAGTTCAGTCATTTGTGGTAGTTAACCGAAAACAGAGATTTTTGGTTGTACAGTGATATTTAGTTAACCTGTTTAAGACCAGGTCATACAGTGATGTTTAGTTGACCTCTTTGGTTTGCGATGTCTAGTTCATTTGTTGCACTTAATGACTGTAGGTCATACAGCAGCATTTAGTTGACTTGTTTAAGACTAGTTGAGTCATTTATGGTACTTAAATGAAGACTTTTAGTTTATATAGGGACATTCAATTTACCTATTTAGTTTGTGATGACTTGTTTAGATAACTTTAGATAACGCAGTGGCATTTAGTTGATCTAAATGACTAGTTCAGTCATTTGTGGCACTTACACAAACATTTCAGATCATATGGCAGCATTTAGTTGACTTGTTTAGTTTGTGATGACCAGTTTATTCATTTGCACTTACAGAATTTAGGCCATGCAGCGACAGGAATCTGTAAATCGGCACAGTAACCTCATCGTCGCTAAAATAGCTAAGCAGGTTGTTCATCATCGTTCGTTTCTTGACAACCTACAACTTCTTTGAATATAAAGTAGCTTCTAAAGTGACTATATTAAAGTCCTGTATATTTAAAAAATAATAAGAGTATTAAATTAATTTCTCATCCACTTTCATCTCACTGATCCACGGTGCAAGAATAGATTTATTGAGGAGTTTGTTAAGATGACAGAATCCGGTGCTCACAGCGAGCGTTGTAAAAATCTCCCCTAATCTGCTTAACTTCATTAGAAGAGATCGAGGAGGATTACAGTGAACTGCATATATATGAACATAATTCCTAGCAATATTTAAGCGGCTCATAGATAAATACATCATCAGGGATGCACAAACAGCAACAAAATAGCAATTAATTAAATTCCCTTTATGGAAAATTGCCCGTTAGTTGCCAGGCTTATGAATTATGGCCAGGTTGTGGTAATTGGCTGGATCGATGGCAAAGGTTATGACAAGGGAGCGTGCTTATACATGCAAAAGTGAATTGAATACATTCACGTCCATGTGCCTCCACTTTTTTCCCTTTATATTAGGAAAAATGTCTTTCCTGTGTGACAACTAGCCCCGGTTTTCCTTACATGTTCAAGTTTTAAAGGGGTCATATGATGCGATTTAAATTTTTCCTTTCTCTTTGGAGTGTTACAAGCTCTTGGTGCATAAAGAAGATCTGTAAAGTTGCAAAGACTAAAGTCTCAAATCCAAAGAGATATTCTTTATAAAAGTTAAGAGTTATCCACGCTAGGCATGGGCCGCTCGTTCTAACACGCCCCCACATACCTACATCACGAT